GTCACTCGCCCGCGCACTAATCTCCGGGGCCTTTCGTACTCGTCACTCGCCCGCGCACTAATCTCCGGGGCTCTCCGAGGCTTCTCGCGGAGATCAAAGCAGCCCGGTGGCGATTGCGCTTCTCCCGACTCTGCCTCTTGTCCGTCACCCAGCCATCGACGACACTTTGGATAGCACGCAGGCTCGCTTCGCACGGAGCAAGCAGGCTGCTGCCGTGGGAGCTGGTGAGAAGGGGCGGCGCGATGCATCGACCTCTATATGAATAGCCGCGCCTCGTGTGCTCATCAGCCCCTCCCAACACTACTCACACTTTCTTGTCCTCCTACCTTTGCACCTTTCCTTCTTGCTGCTGGCTTCCGCACTTGAGCCAACAATGGTCGCGTATCAAAACATTGCCATTGCAGGAGTGAGTCATTGTCGAATTGTGCACTTGTCGCGGAAGCACCAACTCACTGATCTCCTCTTCCTCCACAGGCTACGGGCAACCTCGGTCCGTCGATCGTTAGAAAGCTCCTGAATGCCGGTTTGAACGTTATCGTTCTTACTCGCAACGGCACGCGAAGCGCTACCCTGCCTCAAAGTGTCAAGCAAGTCGTTGTTGAGTATTCTAGTCAGCAATCGCTCGTAGCCGCACTCGGCGGCATCGAGGCTTTGATCTCCACTATCCCCGATCACGGCGCACAACCTGCCCTCATCGATGCCGCGATTGAGGCTGGTGTAAAGCGTTTCATTTCTTCCGATTTCGGCTCTGATGTTCCCGGTAATACTCAGACGGCCTCCTTGCCCGTTTTCGCTGGCAAAGCCAAAACTCAGGCCTATCTCGAATCAAAGAGAGACCAGATTGAATACACCCAGGTCGTCAACGGAGCACTCCTGGATTGGGGAATTATGGTCGGATTCCTCATTGATGTTCGGGGTGGCCCCACTCGACTCTTCGATGGCGGGAGGGGCCGCTTTAGTGCCACCACCCTTGCCCACGTCGCTCAGGCAGTCCTAGGCATCTTGCAGCATTCCGCTGAGACACTGAATCGAGCTGTGTACGTGCAGAGCGCCGCGGTGTCACAGATGCAGCTGCTTGCGCTCGCAAAGCAAGCAAAGCCGTCTCTCAAGACCGAGACTTCCGTCCACAGCACCGCTGAACTGGAGAAGGGGGCGTATGCAATTCTCGAGAGTGGCAATGGTGACATCCGCAACGCGATGCTCGACTTCATAGCCGTCTCCATCTTCAGAGAGGGCTACGGTGGTCTTTTCTCCTTGACAGACAACAATCTCCTGGGTATCAAAGAGCTCGACGAAGCCGAGCTTTCATCATTGGTGAGCCAGTTCGTCTAAAATTGCCCTCATTAGGATGTGAATTCAATGAAAGCATCCGAAACAAAGCCGGTCCGGCCTGTACAGCTCTGCTTTCGACTGCGTCGACTGTGAGCTCAGAACCATCGAGTGCTGTATCCATCCCGTCCGAGGCCGCCCAGTTCGTGATGTGATGTAGAATCCTAGTCATTCTACAGCTTGCGCTCTCTCACACCACGTCCGGCGGCATCGCCGAGGGCATCTTCGCGGGGCACACGGGAGCGCAGCATGTACAGAAACTCTCAAGGCGAGGGCCAGTCTCAGTGGTATTGTTGTAGAGCGTTGTCATAAAACCCCCCTTAAGCTGGTCCGTCCCCCATTATCCCCGGATCTCACATTTGGTACCACGTCCGATTGAGCGTATACCATCTTTCATGCCCCGCCCACATCATCTGGCGTCGCTGCGTTCACCCCTCTGCGAACGAGCTAGCATGTTCTGCATTTGTTTCATCAGAGGTCAAAGACGGCTTGATGAGACTGCAGCATGGTGCACGCAAGCTTGTGAAGACTCACTGCATACTTTGAGTGAGTCAGTTGCATCAAACTGTATTACTGTCACCGTCGCAACTGTGTGACAGACCCTCGCGAGACAGTTGCGGCTATGAAGCTGCTCAAAGGGCAAGGCCAGATCAGATTTGTCGGAGTTTCCAAACTTCTTCTAGAGAAGCTTCAGGCTTGTAACGATGTCTGCCACGTCGATGCCATTGAGAACAAAGTCAGCCCCTGGATGCCCGAAGTATCAAAGTAGGCATCTTGAATTAGTGCGAGCAGAGTGACTTCATATCTTGCTCGGCAGAGAAGTGACCTTTCTTCTCTGAACGGACCCGCGTATGGTGCCTACCCACCGCTCGGGAAGGGCTGCTTACCGGTAGTGTTAAAGAGCCTTCCGATCTGGAACAGATGTATCAGGATGTCGAGTCACCGAACACAAGCGAAGAAACTCTCCACCACAACCTTCAGATCGTCGACCGCATTAGAAAGATCGCGGATCGCAAGGCATTAGGAAGATCGCGGATCGCAAGAACGCCAAAGTGGGCCACATTGCTTTGGCCTTGATAATGCAGAAGTCTCCAGCCATGGTCCCGATACCAGTGATTCCCGAAAGTGCAAGTCTGGACGACCGCCTCGTGGCCGCTACTCTCAAACTCAACAATGAAGACGTACAAGTGTCCGATCAAATTATTAGATTTGAACAAATGCTCGGTAAGCGATATGCCGGAGACTTACGCCGAAACTTGTCGCATTATTGTAGAAGACCAGGAGACCTCTTCCGGAACCGATCAGACGGTCTTCATGCCTTTGCAAGTTTGAGCATCCCCTCCAACATCAAATGACAGACAGTCCTTAAAGATCTTAAACAGATGTTTTCAACGGGTCCGTTTAGATCCGATTATGTAAATTTGACTTCACACCTAGGATACCCTTTTTTATATTTTCATGGTCAAATTGATTCTTATTAGGTTGCTGAAACAGCCTTCCCATCTTGAAAATCTAGATGTTTACTTGTTACAAGTGTATAGTTATCAAAATGGAGTACAATACCTTCCAAATATGTTGTAGACGTCAAACTCGATATTTTATGTTCAGGATTTGTTGCCACTCTTCTGCCGTCAACTCGTGTGACCCGTGTTCCCTCTTCTGCATCGGTCACAGCTCGCCTCCTTCTTCGCTTCGCCGTTTCAAGTCTCCTCCGTCATCAGGTCCACAATGTTGCTTGAAAGCTGCTCCACCATTCCGCAGCTTCGCAATGGATACTCTTGGCGCAAAGAGACTACTGTAGCCTCTCTGGGTCCTAATGTGCGAGACCTCACCTACGGTCCTGACACCATCCACTCTCGCTTCCAGCAACCTGATGCGTGCAGGAAGGGTCACGACCACAGAACGTCGGAAGACCGAGAGTCAAGCAGCAGCGCGAAGGCAAAAAGGCCCGAGCGGCCCATTCACCCATTGAGAGGGTCTATATGTTGATCCTGCCGGCGTGCCGAGTCCGACACGTGCGCTGCTGGGCGAGCAATCGGAGAATGCCTCCCGTGATGCAGCCTGCAGCTTCGTTCACCCGGTCCTGTTCCATCCGAGGGGAGATACAGAGCATGCATCAAACCAAAAGGGCAGTAGCCCACCCAGACCGAGCACTTCTGGACAGTGGTGCAAATGGCTCTTGTGCGCAGTCGTATATAAAGGGTCTACTCGCAGAGCTGGCAGGGGCAGGACAAAGGGAAAGCCCTGATTGCGATTGCCATAGGGGTTGGCGGGACAAGGCAAGGCGAGGCAAGGCAAATGCAGCAAGACGAGGCAAGGCAAACGAAGCAATCGAAGACTGTCTCACGTCTGCCTTAGGCCGCTACAGTATGAGTCACAGGGCATATCATATACAGGGAGATGCAGCAAGACATTGTTGTCGAGACAGACCCCCGTTGTCAGGTACAATATTTACAGCACACTTAAGGTATTCCTTTCCGTTTCCTCTCTTTTTCCCCTTTCTTTCTACAATCAGCCGACTACCTCTTTCTCTTCACAACTTTCTCTCTCTTCTCTTCTCATTCAATCCGAGACCCAATGGATGTACTGTACTCCTTTGTCGCTCAATCCTAGCCAAAATAATACCAGATTGCTGACATGACATGAAGTGACGTCTTGAAGCCTGCCTCAGACTGTGGCGATAAACACACTTCAGCCAATGTCAGGCATTAGAGCAGTGCCATGCGGCTAAAGTTAGTCGTGCATGCTGCCACAATATTGTAGTCATGGCTAAAGTGCTGCGGAGATGGTTGTAATTTGCCGCGACTGGCCAGATTTGAATGACGAAAGGAGTAGTCGCACTTGTGTTAGCTGCCACATGGCTCTTCTTCATCCTCGAGAAATTGCAGTTATTCTCTTACTGTATGACATGGTCTCTGTTACTTTACGCAATCTTCGCAGAATCACCCGAATGAGTTGCTGTTTAGGTCGGATTTGTCTGGAGCTTCTTATCTCCTTTGTGCCGCTGAGGTACTACTGTATGTTTGTACAAAGGGTATGAACGCTTCCGAATCTTCTTGCTCTGTGCACTCTTATTCATTACTGTAGTCGTCACTTGTAAAGATGCCAGCCGAATGTGAGGGTACTGGTTTACAAGCCATTCCACCTCCTTTGTCTTCAAAGCCGTAGCGTGGAGTTCCTTCGTCCTATCGTAGCAAATAGCCGATTCTGAGTTTGAGGCGACGTTTTTTGTGCCCGCTGTCCCTTGCCGAAGCATGAGATCGGGCGAGCGGAGGAGTGGCACTGTCGTCTGAGTGGCCAACGTCACCACGACCCAGAGGCTGCTGCGCGCTGTGCGCACCATGATGATGGTGACTTACTGTCATAGTCACACGCCTACTATTTTTGTCGCTCGATTTCAACCACATGCAGTGAAGTCAAGCCCTTTGCCAGGAAGAAAGCCATGACAAAGTATATCTGGCACCATGCACCTCTCAATTTTGGGGGCGTGACACTGTTGTAGTGCCTGACCCTGAATAGACTGTGGCTGGACTCCAGGGCCAGATTGCGAGTATTGCCAGATTTCCTGCCTGACCGCTGCTCTGAATTTCATTTGGCTCAGCTTAAGTGACAAGAGGAGTAAGGCACTCCTACAGTACTACTTCGTTTACCCACGCCCTCGACGCTGATGGAAAGTCAAGCTGCCAAACACCTCTCGAATCATGTTTCCGAACGCAAAGCCAATCACTACAGCGGCGCGTAAGTGAACGCGCAGATTTCGACGGCAAGATGGCTCTTCTCCTTTTGCTTTCTTGTCTGCGCACGCCTTGCCCGGAGCCGTCCTGCTGCCGCCGTCAAACGTGACCATCACTTTTACCCGATCTGCCCGAGACTCATGATGGCCAGGAGGCTGCAAATGGGCTAGCTAGCAACGGAGGTTATTGTGACTGCTCTCGTTGTCCTGAAGTGCTAAACTTTTCTTTGTTCTGTCTCCTTCCGCACGAGCCGACTACCCCTCTCGCCAGCGCGATTTGGCGGACTAGGTGGTGCTCTGAGCAAGGTGCCAGAAATGATCATCGCGGGCGAAGGAGACTTCCACAGGGAAGGTAAAGAAGGTCGAGTCTCTCTCGTCAAGACGCAGTACAGTAGGTGAGATTGCTCGTGTAGAGAAAAAGAAATCACAATCTTTGGGGCCAGAAGAGGTCGCTTTATGTACTTGACACAAGGTGGTCTGTCCACAGAAAAGTACCGAAGTACGGACAGAAAAGGGGATGTACGTTTGGTTTAACGTGACTCAGGGAAGGAGCGGGCGTACGGTTGTTTGAGACATCTGGAAATACGGACCAGAAGCAAAGGAGGAGAGACGGCGGCAAAGGGTGCGCCGGGGAAGGTCACCCGCGCAGCCGCTGTGAAAGCGTAGCGTCTGTGCTGGGAACCGCAAAGGTCGTACGAGAACGCAATGGTGTTGTACGCACGCCAATGATGAAGGCGCTAGCTGGTGGCAAGGCAATTTGTGGTACAGTAGAGTCTTGCGTGAGGATGTCTTCCTGAGTGGGACCTGCTCTCGTCAGCAGACTTGGCGATGGTCGTGCAAAAGCGAGTGATGGCTGCGGCTTGCGTGAGAAATTCTCTGACAAGTTGTCGCGATGACAGTGGGAGGGGAGCACTGATAGTGAGGAAAGAGGGCGTTGGCGTAGCGTCCCTCTGTGGTAGGAGGAGTTGGTAGGCCCTGGACGCAGCGTCCACGGTAGCCAGTGGTGACGGACGCAGCGTCTAAGACTGACTGGAAGATGGACATAGCGTCCATCAAAGTCATGATCCAGGGTGGCGCAGCATCCCGATTCTGCGGACGTGGCACATGTGATGGTGATCTTGAGTTGGGGATGTAGCGTCCATAGTGACCAAGAGTCGTAGACGTGACGTCCGTGTTGGCAAGGAGGCGTGGACGTGGCGTCCAGCTTGTCCTCAGTGGGCTGTGACAGCGTCCGGGACTGTGCAGTGCAAGCCGAAGCTCACATCGAAGTAATGGACAGGACGGATACGAGGTATCTCTGTATAGTATTGAGGACGGCTTTGCAGCATGATGCGGGCGGCCTCGGCATCGTACTCGTTTGATATAAGGCAAGCGCCATCGCGCCTCCAGAGGTCCCCTCGAGATTTTGTCTGCTGAGCAGTGCTCCGAGAAGGATGACTCAGAGTACCGCTGCTTCTGCAAGAGAGGAGGGGAGGGAGGAAAGCTATTGATTGCACTCCGAGCTGCCAATGTATCAGTGAGGCAGTCAGACGTAATCACACATTGACCGAGATGCTAACGCCTTCAACGCTGGCCAGTGAGGTCTTCTCCTTGGCGCAGATCTTCGCAGGCATATCGGACGACACTGCACGGGTGTTGCGACATCGTCCCCGGAGCTTATTGCTTCATCTGGCCCTTCAGCAATGTTCGCTGTGCGTAGCTAGGGGACAGACTCTCGTGCCTTTCGGTGAGACCAGAGTCTCGAGAGCTGCTGAAAGGGCACATACCGGACTCATCCTGAATGGAGTATCAAGCTCCGATCGAGATTACAGTCAAACCGCTTGAACATCAGCGGAAAGAAGTGCGAAGTATGTGGTCTTCACGACCGGTGATGTGAGGTACTGACAGGTCTAGAGGGTGGAGAGGTAGAGCCTTACTGCCTTCCACCAGCATGCAGTCAAGTGGTCCTGTCCAGATAGGCCACACTCCCAGGAAAGCGTCGCTTCATGTGAAGCCTGCGTTGTAACGTACCGATCGGGGCGTGTTCATGTCAACATGAGGCCAGGTTGATAGTCTCACATCGCTGGCACTAAGCAGCATCGTATCACCAGAAGGGAAATCAATTCGATCGTGTCATCAGAGGGGATCTTCGCTACCACGCACCGCACGAAGGCGGACGTTCCGCGCAGGAGACAACACAGGGCGTAGGGGAAGAGAGTCTGAGGGCGTTGTGAGATCATGTGAGTTTCAATCTTTTGAAAGGAAAACTACGGGGGTTGCGAAAGCGTGAGCGAGTGTAGCGTCAGCGTGTGTTACTGACGCTCTAGTGGAGACTTTACTCACGCCAATCGATCCGAGGGCTTTTGACTCTTTCTGGCGCGACGTGGACCTTCGAGGGTTGCTTCTGGCTGTTTGGCAGTGACGTATACAGTGCGTTCCCCACGGAAATGCTTTGTTGCGGGCATCGAGCATGGTTTGGCATCAAGTGTAGCATTGCCATGCGGACTGCAAGGTTCGATGAGATCCGGTCGATCTGGACGCTCTGAACATCCGTCTTCATGGTCTCCTTCTCTACTAGGGTTCCCTCTCGGAAGATGCTTGATGTTCTTAAGCTTTTGTGGTGTGTCTGCGGAAGAAACGGCGTTCGATTGATTAGTCTTCATCATGACTGCTGAGAAGAGACGAAAGGGGGTGGTAGACAGTCCTTCGCCTTCGTACTCACAATTGTACGTGGGAGTACGAGGTGTATCTACGTTGAGAACACTGGACATTGATAACCACTGGCAAATGTCTGACATTGCCAGGAGACGACTGGTCGACGATCGTCGAGACGGTTGAAAGACGCCAGTCAATGAAGGCGTGGGATCGGATGGCAATTGGAAGATTGGAGGAGTAAGTGTAGTTTGTATATGACCGAGACACCACGTCAACATGGGTGAGACTGGACGATGACCTACCAGATGCTCAGTGAGGCCCATGACAGCGGTCTTCTCTGCTGTGTCCAACGCACTTGCGTTGACCATGAAGTTGGCGTCGCGTAGAAGGCCAATCTCTGATGACGTCGCGCTCAGCAGAACTTCGTGAAAGAGGTACCTGAGAGTGTCGTGTATGGTGGAGGTGTCGGCGATTGTGCATCCATAGGTTTTCAGAAAGGCACTTCTCGTCTGCAAGCTCGAACCGACAGAGCTTCCCTTCACTTGGACTTACTTGCCTGTAAACAGCTCATACAGAGTGCAACCAAGGGACCAGAGATCGACGGCAGGGCCGTACGGCCTACAGCAAAGGATCTCCTAGGCAGGCCAATCATGATTCGCTTCAGTAATGTTGACAATGCTTCTTCGGGCGAAGGCCACAGCATCTGTTACCATTGACACAAGCAGTGCCATGCCAACAGCAGTACTCACTGGAGCTCTGTATCCAGGCGTCTAGCAAAAGTCGGGTAGTGAAAAAATGAATGATGTTGACGACCTCTTTCAGTGACATCGTCGACCCGATCTCTCTTCATGCAACTACCCGCAGCTACTCACACCGTCATACGAGCGGGTCTCGCACTTGCCACAGTATGCCTTCTTGGCCAGACCAAAATCGCAGAGCTTCAGAATGCCGCCGGAAGTGATCAATACTGCGAAAAAGGGCGACTTCCTCAGTGTTCGCGGAATGATGCGTGCAGAGCGCGCTGAGCTTCGCCTGGTGGCGCCCCACTGACCATTGTCGGGTTTGATATCGCAATGAATAATTTGGTAGCCGTCGAATCCATAGTGGCAGTAGTGGATCGCGCTGATGAGTTGAGCAGCAGCAGCTTGTCTATTCAGCCTTTCAGCCGGGAATCTGGATCGTACACGCCCGCCTCTGGCGATTCAGCGTATGTCAAAAAAGGTGTGGCTATCGAGGCATGGTTCTACTTACCGAGGACCATGGATTAGACCCTGAAGACTGCCATTGACGCAGAATTCCAGAATCAGATCGGTGAAAATGACACTTTCGGCGGCTGCTACAAACTCGATGACATTCTTGTGTCGAAGCGATTGTAGAAAGGCAAACTCTTTGGCAGCACAGCGTCTACCGGGGCTCGCTTGCCCGCCGAAGGTCCTCTTGATTGCTACCTGCGGAGCAAGAGCAGAAGCACAGCAAGGAGGAGCCAGAAGAAGTCAGACAGTGCTACAGCAAGCGCCAACATGGAAGGACTGATCTTTGAACGTAGGTGATGCTCAGCGTCAGGAGCTTGAAGACTCACTTTCCGGCCGCCCAATCGGCCGCGATACACTGTAGCAAAACCGCCCTGTCCAACTTGTTCCAAGATTTGCAAAGACATGCCCATTGTGGAAGGAAGAGAGATGCGGGAGGGATGATAGTGCATGACTTCCGACAGGAATGTAGACTGGCCTCCTTCTTATAGTTTCAAGTTGCCCTCACTCCTACGCGTCACTGCGATCACCCTCTCCTCGCTGAGTCTAAGCCTCTACGTCACCGATTAGCCAGTGAAAGCTTCATGATGAGCCAGTGATGGACTCTTCAGCGGCTACAGAGGGCTTGTGCCCCAAGCGCAAGCCAACGCGGAAGGAGCACGTACCTGACCGCTTGAACGCGAGCGCCTGCGAAGCGCAAATATGCTGCAGGTAGACCGTTGAAGAAAGTACGCACGCTGTACACGCCACTCAGCGTACCGGGAATGTTGTCCACAAGCCGCTTACCTGCGCCTTTCGCTTCGATCCAACGTCCAGCTAGCACCCAAGAGCCGTGTCAGACGAAGAAGTTCCAATCCTCCTGCTGCATCGAGAATCTGACTTCTCCGCGTCCCGGGCTCCATTTGCATTGTCCGCTGGAAGATGGAGACGAATATTGACCCGCTTGAGCCAGCGACCCTTCCTGTCCTTCTCCACCCGACGGGCAGTAGAGGGAGTGAGAGAGCCGGTGGAGGCCAAGGCATAGCGATCCCGCCGAGCAACAGACACTCAAGTCCACAGAACTAGGTCGCTTGTGCGGGAGCAATCCAGTCTTCTGAACCGTCACTCGGGTACACTCAAAGGCGACACTCTGAGGTCTTCGCCTCAGAATGTCGCGGATCACGAATGTGAATGAATAATGCGAATCCTATGGGCGAATGGGGGCCTGCGCTCCTGCGATGCCACGAGTCGTCTCACTGAGATATCCTAGACAATCAACACATAGAAGAGTGAGAGAGTATTCTAATGGTCTCTTGAGCCACGCAAAGAGGTCTCGAAATTGGCACAGTGGCTGCGCTACCGGCGCCACCGCCAGCAGAAGCGGGCTGAGGCGGTCATGAGACTAGCAGTTCACCCACTCACAGCTCTGCGTGGTCATGTACCTCGACAAAAGCATCTTGTCGCAGCCGCCCAGAGCTTGTTTCAGAGCGTCACTCCACGCCTGACCAGTCAAACTTCTGTCCCACAGCCGAGCCCAGAGCTCAAAAACATGGGCCAGATAGCACTGTCAAGATGAACTCAGCGGTTCGCAGCGTCCTTTGGTCTCGGGTGAGGGCGGGCTGAACGTACAAGCTGGCCAGAAATACTCACCAAGAGCCTTCTGTGCCATGGACCATGAGCTCAAGAGCTCGAGGACTTAGACTTCGATGGGTTCCCAATCCCTTCAGCACCTGATCCTGTGATCCCATACTTGCTTGCCCATGCACGTACCGCATAATGCTATGTGGTCAAGCCGCTGCTGCTGTCCACGAGCTTCCACCCTGGATCCCTACCAGTGCTCAATCTTGTCACCGTCCGCAGTGTACCCTGCGCTCTCATGTCTCGTCCCGCGCCCGCTTGCCCCTTGCCCATGTAGCACGACCCCAGTCAACAGACCTCTTCAACACGACTGAAATCAGACTTGCTTCACAAGGTCTTTCACACCGTGTTTTTCGCACTAATTCTGCGGCCGCCAGTTCGGCAATCATCGGCGGGGCGCCTGGAGGGCCAGCCCACGATGCAGATCACACGCGCCCTCATAGGGGAGGATTGGTGTGAACGAAAGACGAATGCGCTACAGTGACCTTAAGTCCCACGCCCCTCACACCCTCCCCTCTACAAGGTCCCGCGCTTCTCCTATGCACAGTCCCGGTAGACGATATGAGCTGCCCAAACTGTCTAATCGGAGAGTGTATTTGCCACACCCATCGGAACACACGACGGAGCGAGATCTTGCAGTAGCCGGCGCTCTGGTGAATCCAGAGCTCGAGAGGGCGCGCGCTTCTTTGGACCTTCCGCGACAGGGCACACATTTGACAACATAAGTGCCTTCGTGCTCATCATAGTGCGGGCTTTCGATACGAAGCACGCGTGGGTGCCGGCAGAACCAGTACCCTGTACAGCGCTACGACCTTGCTGCTTCCAGGTAGACTTTGAGCTGGAGAAGCGCGCCACATGTACCCAGACAAAGATGAAGGTTGATGTCGAGTGCGATCTGCCACAAAGCCGCTCAGTATGGCTGCGTTGTCTCAAAGACTTCGAGAGCCACAGACATAGGGGAAGAGAGATTGCTAGCGAGGAAGTCAGCGCCAGGAAGTCAGCGCCGGGAAGTCAGCGCCGCTTGATGTGTTGGCCAGATTAAGAGGACGCAGGTCCACTTGTCTCTCGACTGCAGACATTGTGCCGGTCGCGTCTTCGCGTGGTGCAGCAACGAATCGGTCTTGGTCGGTACGGTTCTTCGCTATGCCGAACCACTGACCAGCACTTGCGTCGAGCACCGGAACGAAGCAGGACGTCAGAAATGACTGACACCATCCCGTGATGCAATCGTCGACTTTGCCAGGGAGCTGAGCTGCGCTGAGCTTAGCTACCGAGTATTGCAGACGAGAGGCCCGCTGCTGGTGATAGGTCCTGGTCCAACTTCGGTCACCCGAGAGTAGTCCAAGGGAGCATCCGATACCAGCGCTTACGATCGACGGGGCCGCCGGCTGGCAACGTTGCGGGCAACGACCCTGTGCGCAGCGGCGAAGGTGCTGACAGAAGCCGTACGGCGCTCCTGGAGAGACACCGGTGAGGGGTCGGTCCTTCCCGACTTCGTTCTCAGACGTGATTTGATTGCGTCTGTCTTCAGGCTCAGAGGTCTTGACCGGCCCGTGGCTTTGGCGAAGAGCGCACACGCATTGCAGACCACATTCCCACACCTGTCGCGCCTCCATAGCGGTGTCTTCTCTGTCGCACGATTACTACAAAAGGGCTCATGGAGATCTTTGGAGGGAGAAAAGATCGACGAGGATGCCGCAGCTCTCGGTCTCTTCGTCTCGACGCCGTAGGCTTCTCCAGTGTATGAGAGGGCTGCCCAAGCATTTCCAGAGGGAGCACGAACACCCTTCCGTCCTCTCGTTGCTTCAGGTCCTCCGTTGTCGGCTGGACGCTGTAAGTGCCGTGTACGCGCTTTCTCGCATCCGACCTCCTCTACGCATGGTGCGTGCCAGGATAGGATGGAAGCCTGCGTAATTGCGCGGTTGCTGTCTGTTGGCAGTGGATTAGTGGGCGTTTGCTGCTTTGCGTTGTGCAGCAACCTCGCCGGCGGGGTTGAGCTGCTCCAGGACCAAGGAATGCCAGCGATGCCAGCGAAGAACGGGTAGGATCCTCTTTTCGAGAGGTGATACACGTGCTGAGAGGGGCGAGCCGTACACTGTCGGCGTCGTCGGCTCCAAAGCTCCCAACCCGACGCTGTAAGCCTGGATGCGACGCCAGATCATGCGGACAGCCTGGCAAGGGCGGCAGGCGGCAGTGATGTCGATCGCCCATCGAGGCACCTGGGAAGAGGGAGGATGAGAGGATGGGTAATAGGCAGAGCCGACTCTGGCCCGTTTGTATTTCCACAGAATGGCCCTGTATGGGCAGGGGGAAAGCTTGGAGCAGTCGAGGGAGTAGACTTGGTGCTGGAACAAATCACTCGTCTTGCCGAGCTTTCGTGTGGGTTTGGCGAAAGTGACATGTGGAATATGAGGTTTACGTGTCAATGATGCCGTTCCGACAGATCTTCAACCACCGATTGTCGCGAGTGCTGCCGTCAATTGGCATTTTGGCACCACTTCGCGTTCGGTCCTGGGTCGAGCGCCTCTGCTTGAAGCCACAGGGCGACTTCAGACTGGTACCATCGCCCCACAGAAAGGGACGACCTTCCTACTGACCATGCTGTCCTTCACTTGGGGCACGACCGAGCGCGATGGCGTCTGAGCAAAGGACGAGTAGGATTGCGCGAACCGACAGCTGCTCCTACAACACCACCATCGTCCAGCTCTCGGTCGCTAGCTTTCCACTGCACAGTAAGTCTTCGAAAACATTTACGGGACCCCGGTATCCACGATTCACTCACGTTGGTAGAACTACCCACTTCGATCGATGAGAGGCGCGCGAGATGATCCCGTCGCAAAAGGAGGCTGCAGCCCGACGAACCTGACAGAAGAGTAACAGGAGGATGGATGAAAGGGTGAGACATGCGTTGCTTGCTACTGTATCGAGCCCGTTCATCTGTCTTTGATCACGAGCGGCAAGGACACAGCAAGCCCACAGACGGGATGCAGAGCCGGACAGAGTGCGCTGTGCTGACAGAGGAGCAGACCCCCGCTGGCGAAGGCAATTCAGCTCGGACCAAAGAGCCGAGGGAGCCGAGTACTCGGCAATGCTAGTACATTAGAGCTGCAAAGCATGTCACTTGCGCCAGGTCGACCAGTGAACCATGCACGACGGACCGCGGACGTTGAACTGATTTTCGATCGCCGCGATGGTGGGCCTGACCAAAAACACCCGGCATTGCGCTTTCGATTCGTTGTCCGTGTCTAGCGAACTGCCCGGGAGATCCAAGCGCTCGTGGCGCAGCGCGTGCCGGTGCCCTCTCTGCGTCAGGCTGAGTGACGCTCCGTAGCCGCGCATTATCGTCTCCCGAGCGCGCATGCTCCTCGGCGGGGTTTGAAAGTGTGCGCCCAGTTCTGTACTACTTCAGCGAAGATGGCGGTGGAGCAAGGCCAAAGCTACCAGTTCCTTTGTACTTCTGACGCCTCGCAATAGTCGGGCCTGCCGTCACAACATCGGAGCGATCCGCCCCGTTGCGACCTTGAGCCTGTTGAGCAATTTCCTGCGCCTCCTCGGTCCATCGGCGTCTTTTGCAGGATCCACTCGTGCGCTTTTGTCGCTCTTGGTCAGGTGCCGATTGGCAGCAGCAGCAGACATCGTGGCGAAACCACTGGTGCGAGACAAGGAGGCCGGAGAGAACGGGAGTAGACAAAGATTCCGGAGGACTGGGCGGGTCCATTGACTTGTGAGAGGAGATCGATGCCCTTGTCCACCCCGAGCCGAAGCAGCCGCCTCTGCAGGTTCACCTTTCGACCCATTCAGATTCGGCCCGCTCGAACAAAGGGTCGCGTAGTCGTACGTACAGTATATAGCAGAACGGTGCACCCCTTTCTCGATATTGCAAAGATCCGTATCCACCCTCATGTCCTCTGTTACGCCACACAGCGAGGAACTCTTGCCGCACGCAAAGGATCTACAGGAGATCCGCAACATCGACGTTCTGCAGCATGGCATCACGGCCTGCATCCGCTCCTCGGAAAAGCTGGAGGCGTGCCGGCGAGCTGGGTGGATCTACCTCGCCTTCTCCCTCTCCTTATGGCGGGCGGAGCTGATCGCCGATCCGAGTGACTGTCCGGACTTAGCCCTTGGCGTTGGCGCTGCACATCACAAGGTCAGTGCCGTTTGGCACCTTCGCCCATGCCATTGCCGACTTTCGAAGATGCTGACTGCCTGCACATGGACAGATCACACTCAATGGATGGTCCGAGGGTCTCTCGAGCGACGAAAAGCGTGCTCTGCTGGTCGACGCGCCCTCGCGCGAAGCGGGCAGCAAAGCGACGTCAAAAGCTGCCGCGGAGTCTTGCTACTTCATCGATCTGCAGGAAAAGCTGGCCGCAGGCGACAGGCGCGGTCGCAAGAGGGGTCGTGAGTCCGGCGCGTCGAACTAACCCATGTCCGACTCAGCCATAGACAGCTCCCTCGAGCCATCGACCATCAACAATCCCTCCTACGTCCTTGCTTCAGCATTGTCGAACGTTGCCGAGACTGAAAGCATCGGGATGAACTTGACACATCGCATCAACCAAGCGTATTTCCGATTGGGTGAGGCTTATGTGAACTTTGGCAAGTCTACCTTCGAAAGCTGTCCTGCACCGGATTCGACCGCCTTTCACGCACTCGTTTTTGGCTCTGCCGTTGTCGCAATGCGTGCAGGAGCGAGCGAACAGGTCGACCAGACAGTCTCCGAAGCAGGTCTGAAGAAGAGACTCGAGCGAGCGCGCAGGTTCTGGTTCGTGGTGCAGTGCTTGGACGAGAGAGTACTAGAGCTGGTCGACATCCTCTGCGTCAGTCGGCTGGACAAGATCAGCTTTGTGCGGCTCCGTCAGATGGCTCAGACGCTCTCGAGCCTCACCCTCGCTTCTCGTGTATTGCGGCCGGAAGCAGCGACCACGCACATTAGAGCACTAAACCAATAGTATCATTGTGGCTGGCTAATTCGCCTTCAGAGACAGTCTGTCGTTGAGGACAATTGCGATGCGCGCCTGAGTCCAACGATCGTAGGCAGAAAACATCATTGCCGCAACTTCTAGCTCTGCAAAACATTTCGAGGGATATTAGCTCTAAGACTCATATTCGTCTTGTTGTGCCCGTCGTGAATGCAGCTTCCGACTTCGATAGAGGTGGAGCGGATTGGCTGGACTTCGACCTGTATCGATGCTGTCTGTAAATGGGTTGTAGAACAGGAGGCCGAGGTTGGCGGGGTGCAGGCTCTAGGCCAGCCATGGAATGTTTGCAGCGTCTCTCCTCTTGGGGAACAAGAGGAGAGGCCTGTGACACCCCTGAAACGAGCATCGTCTGGCACATCAGGGGCCGCACTACTCCTCGATCTAGCCACTGTCTACCGAGGTCGGGATGGTCGTTGACTGTGCAGACCTTTGACCTTGGATTCACATAAGATTGACCAGCGTCCTGAAATACGCATACTCATCAGTGAGGCCAGCAAGGCTGTCCCGTCGCAACCTCGGCTGTTGTACGGATCAGAATCTTGTGCGGCACTACTTGTGAGCATAGCGGATTGAGCAGGGCCATTCGTAAGATCTTCTTCCTCCTTATCACCGACCGCAACACGGCCAACAACGTCGGCAAGATCTTCGCTCACCGGTTAGGGTGGAGTTTGGGCGAGATGTTCGTTGGGCAGCCGGCCATAAGTGGGTAATGTCCCTTTCTTTGCTGTCGTCTCGCGTACAGGACTTGAAATGGTAGGATGATTGACACCAGAGCACTGCACCAGAGCACAGTCACCCTGTGCTGCAAGCCACAACCTTAATTGCCGCCTGTCAAGTACGCAGCCCCATCCTCGCGTACCACTGTGATGTCCGAAGATGCACCGCCTGGCATTCTCGTCCAGATGGCGTGCTCGACCCTCAGGCATCGCCATTGTCGGCTGCTCTGCACATACCAGAAGTGCACGGCATCTCCTTCCAGCCTTGCGAAAGATGGCATCACTTGCCGGCTTTCTTGGGAAATCTACATCTGTACATTGAAGTGAATCAAGTCATGACCTGTCCCAGGGGCGCAGAGCATCCCTCCCCATTCTTCTTCTTTTTCTTCCTATTGACCTCCCTTCTCGCCTCTCCCGACATCTTCAGTCGCCGAATATCCATCAAGATGTCGACAGCAGCTTCAGCTCCGGCTCACGATCACGATGAGCGATTGGAGAGAGACAAGGCACGCCTCAAGGTCTACTCCGAGGGCCACAGCGAGGGGTCCAGACCGCTTTCAGGCTCGCTGCATGACATTGGACTGGCACAGACTCCCAGACTCGATCGGAAGCTCCGCTCCTTCCACATTACCATGATCGGCTTCTCTTCTGGGATTGGAACCGGTCTCTTCATCGGTACTGGCTCGGCCTATGCCAGCGCAGGCCCTGCCGGGCTCTGCCTTGCGTATTGCATCGTAGGCACGGTCCTGTGGTGTGTAATGCAGAGCATTGGTGAGCTCGCTACCCTCGTGCCGACGGCAGGTTCATTTCCGCATTGGGCTACACGCTTCATCGATCCTAGCGTAGGCTTCTCTCTTGCCATCAGTTATGGCTATTGCTATTCGATCGCAATCGCCAGCGAGGTCAGCGCAGCCGCCGTGTTGGTCAGCTATTGGACAGATGTATCTCCTGTTTTAGTCATCACATTGGGACTTGCTGCGATCTTAGCTCTGAATTTGACCAGTGTAGAGTTCTTCGGACACAGCGAAGTCATTGCTGGTTCCATCAAGGTCCTCTGTTTCATCGGCCTCACCATCGTCGCTGTGGTGATCACATCAGGAGGTGGCCCAAACGGCAGCAGCAGTGGCTTTCAGTACTGGAATAACCCTGGGCCGTGGACACAGTACAATGACATCGCAGGAAGCACTGGGCGCTTTGTTGGAGTGCTATCTGCACTAGTCAATGCGTCCTTTAGCTTCATCGGTATCGAGACCGTGGTTATCACGGCTGCTGAGTCCATCAATCCACACCGGGACATCCCGCGCGCCGCAAAAAGAGTGACGTACCGTATCGCATTCTTCTATATCCTCAGTGTTCTTCTGATCGGTTTGATCGTAGATCCTCGCAATCCATCGCTCGTCAGTGGCACTGGAAATGCCAACTCGAGTCCCTGGGTGATCGCTATTCAAGCAGCAGGCATCAAAGTCCTGCCCAGTGTTGTCAATGCCTGCATCCTCATCTCTGCTTGGTCGGCCGGGAACAGCTACTGCTGGGTCGGCAGTCGCATCATCCTTTCCATGGCAGCCGATCGCCAATTGCCAGCTGTGTTTGCACGAACCTGGAGAAATGGAGTGCCATGGGTTGCAGTGTCAGCTTCGTGGCTTTTGGACCCTTGGCTTACCTGAGTCTCGGACAGGGCGGACCTTCCCAGGCATTCAGCTGGCTCTTGAATTTGAGCACAGTGGCAGGGCTGATTACTTGGACAGTCCTGTGCCTGTGCTACATTCGCTTCAATGCAGCTCTCAGAAGACAGGGCGTGCCTCGCGATGATCTGCCGTGGCAAGCGCCTTTGCAACCCTATGCCGCTTGGATCGGGAGGAGCAACAATTCTGACTTTCATCTCGGGCTTCTCGATTTTCCTCAAGGGCGATTGGGTGACGTCCAACTTCATCGCCTCCTACGTGGGGATTCCGGTCTTCATCATTTCGACCCTGGGCTGGAAGACAATCAAGAGGAGCAAGTTCGTCCATACGCGCGATGCTGACCTCTGGTCCGGACGCTTGGAAATGCACGAAGCTCAGCAGATCCAGAAGGCTGCGTCAGAGCCTATTAGTGCCTCTGGGCGCGTGAGTAGGTGGCTGCTCTGAGTCTGCTGCCCCTGCAGAATGCGAGAAAGTGGTGATTGAGAGCTTCTGTGTATTCCTGTGGGTCTGTGGTCAGAAGAAGAATCGCGGAACCATTTGTAGAAGCCCGTTGTCGGGTCTAGTGTGTCCATTCCTCAAAGTGATATCATCGTCGCCGCCGCAGTAGGTGCAGAAACAGGTGCGGACCCTGGTAAAGAGAGTGACGGAGACGATGAAGATGGTGAGGTATTCGAAGAAGGCAGACAAGATGATGGCGCAGTTGTGAGGGGCGATCGAGATGAGGGAACGGCAGACTTGCGACTCTACACTGAAGCTTCTGATACGAGTGGGAACGATTGTCCAGCCTACGGGTAGCGAGCATCCCATCCGCCCGTCGTTCTACAGGTTTGTACTCTTGGTGAGCCTTTATACCCTCGCCTCCCGCTCTTCTCTGGCTTCTCCGACAGCCGTTCCTTGCGCAATCTACTCCAAAGGCACCAGGAAGGGCACCGTTCTGCGGCCAGCGGTGAAGACAGCCCACCAAAGAAGGGACGGCAAAAGCTGCATCTTCCTCAAAGAAGACATCGCTGCCGCAGAAGATTATTGACGTCCAGACCTGCATATCCATTAGAGTGCTGCCTGTTGTACAAGGGAAGCAGCCAGATCGCTGACGTTCGTGCAACAAATGATGGGTATGGTCTTGCCGCGCTACCCAAAGCTGGGCGATTACTCCCTCAGCAAGGCGCCGCTCACAGTGCTTGTTGAACAAGCACTGCTTTTCGTACAGTACAGTACAGCACAGTATCTGGAGGTAACTCCTCTCGTCAGTCAATTTGCGGCGGATCAGATCCAAATTCGCAGCCTGACTCAATGTCCAACACTCTGCCTCGCACTTTGTCTGCGCCTGAGCCCAAGCCACAGACTCGCCCACATCAGGCACCAGAGAAGTGTCATGCGGCCACGACCAGATTCTGCAGGTGGCCAAAATCCTTTTGCCCTGGTTGGAATTCAGAGCGCGTGGCTAGGCTAGAAATTGAAGTGCGCTGCTAAAATCTGCTGCAGCTGGCTCAGTACTCACAGTAGAACCATTGACAGATATAGAGAATGAACAGACGAGCTGCTGCTGTTCAGCTTATCAGCGCTTTCCATTGCTGTCACTTTGGATTGGAAGACCATCAGATCTCACACATCAAATTCGACAATGGTTAGTGAGGAACGTGTGGGTGGATTCCAACGCGCTCTTCTTGCATCGATCAGCAAGACTGACCAAGTCGTCCTTTCTCGCAGCATCGGTCGCCTCTGGCGGTGTTCGTAAGGTTTACCATCTGGTGTAGCCAAGGAAGCATAGTGTACATTGACAAACAGGAGAGTCGCGTGCATGTCGATGCGAAGTTCTGTGCGACCATGTACAGCACAAAGGAGGGTTGGATTGACAGCGTCACCGAAAGAGATGGCACCGTATGCCTCGCTGTGACAGCCTCGCATGACCAATACTCCTTTTGACACTCAAATCTAGCCAGATGAGGCTCACACAAGAAGTCTGGCAGCTTGCCTTGCAACTTAGCAGTCTGAGCCTGACGTGGAGCCCAATTTACCCATTTTCAGGCTTTCAAGAAGTCCTAGCGAATGTAATATCTTCGGAAATCGGCCTCCTGCGTGATGCCAACTTCACGGTCAGCGTAGATGCACTGACCATGGGAGAAAAAGCGGTCAGCTCGAATCTCACCGCGCATCTGATTAGGCAACATCGGTTCTGGCGCCAGTTCAAAGAGCCAGTACTGTACGCTCCATCAAGGCTCCTCGTCGGGCCAAGTACAGCCCGAAGACTGCCCATTCTTTAGTGTAACTACAGGCGACAGTACTCGCTCACGCGTTCACAGCCTCTGCACTCTTCCTTTGAGGAGACTGAAGCTCGTGCCATCCGACAACGCGTTTGGGTCTCCTATCCCACGCCCTGTGTCGTCACTTTTGCGCAATCTTTGTCTCGGCGGGAGCCGTGGCAGCGAAGACTCTCGCGGAGAAGAGTCACAGCTCTATACAGTGACATGGAAATGGCCCTACTATGGAGCGGCAAGGGCTCACGTCGTGTGTCTGGCTTTGAGCAGGTTCGGAAGGATTGCCGTGGCCGTGTGCTTGATCTGGCGTGGTAACACTGCGGCTGGTGACTCTTTTCGGGCTCGATTGTGGTGGACTGTCACGACTATGTCCGCTTCATGCCGGCACGTCCGGAAAAGATTGCCACTGAACGCAAATGACAAGAACAAGCTGTAACACCTGCTTCACAGCGAAGTCCGCATGAACCAAGGCGTACTCCGGAGTCTGCCCTCCTAGACAGTACGACTGGCCGGCAAGTCTGAGTACCGCTGGAAGAAGAGGTCGTGAGACGTTGCAAATGAGGCTCGGGACCCTGAAAGTATCTCACCAGTGACGGGAAGTGTCTTCCTCCTCCCCAGCCTCTTCCTCCTCACACTCTTAGACGGCCTCACCCCCGTACAGTAGCGACGGAAAGCACGAGCGTTCAAGAGGTCGATCTCTGGGGCTCAGCAGAGAGAAAGTCAGGTGGCAATGCCGTTATGCAATAGAAGTTATCCAACGTCCTGACTGGTGGGATGAGAAGACAGTGACGTGTCCCTGTCTCATGAGCATGTGTACGAAAGGCAAAGGGACAGGTTTGCAATGACCGAAGCCCCTTGACCTCGTCCTGTGCCGCTGGCAACGATGTGCGGACACTGTCCAGGTGCATGGCGATGCAGTTGCGCACTGGCAGGGCTACCTGCCACCGCGAGAATTTTCTCTTGGCAGCGTCTATCTGTCAACGCGAATTCCGACTGGTGGTCACGTGGCCGCCCTGCAGCATCAGGTGAGCTGGGCTCTCAAATCCCCCGCCGTGGCTCCGCCCCGGACTTTCTGCGGCCCGGGATTGCGACGACGAGACTGTCCGTACCATGCCAGCCCAGCGGAGGCCCGCCGTTGCTTTGCTCCGTTGCTCTCCGACCATTGTGTTTGTCGCGGGATGGGATCTCCAGGCTGCCTGACGCTTCGTCCGGGTACTCAGTCTTGTCCAGCCCACTTTGTCAAAGACCATCTTCCGATCCCTCGAGCCCTCGAGCCTTCGACCTCCCTCCTCATTATCATCATCGCACTGCAACAAGCCTTCCAAGGCATTCGCATGCCTTCCTCAATTGTCAGCTTTTACATACCTCGACACACCTCGCACCTTTCGCACCACTCGCGCCTTTGCAGCCATGGCCAAAGCGCACGCACTACCACTCTATCGCACTTGGAGCAACATCACACCACAACCACTGGCTCGGCAGAGTAGCAGAAGGAAAATCTTCACTACGATCTTCCTCGCATCCCTCACCTTTGCATGCCTCCACCTGAGCTACGTCTCTCTTGTAGACCCACCAGGCTCGCTTGATCATGCCGCCCACGGGCGGACCATGGGACACGTGAAGGAGACCACCCTCAAGGCCTCTCTTGCCACCATGATTGGCGCTTTGTCTACCAGGGCCGACAGCAGCGACAGCAGCAGCAGTGAAGGAAGGACGATCACCGGAGATGGGACAGATGCGGAGGGCGCCGACGACACCATCTTTGCCCACTCACAAGCTCGATTTGAGGTGATTAAAGGCATTCCCAACAGTACCTCTTGCCTTCCCATAGCCACAGACTCTCAACAGGAGGGTACAAAATCGTCTTCCTCCCATGTACGTCCAGCACTCGTATCGTCCGGCCCAAATCACGCCGTCTCCATCGTGGCGGGTCTTTCAGGTGGTCTGATTGGCCTCTTCGTCGCCATCCTGGCTGCATTGGCCTGGCATGGACGCAAGGAGAACCTCAGGAGGTATCCACAGGGCGAAGGCGATGCCGATTCTCTGGATCACCTCCGCAGAGTGAATGTGGTAGACCGAAGACCCTTTCGCGTCGCAGTCTGGGACAGGCAATACCGAAACAGTCCTCGCGCCGGCTGGAATTACATGACGTCACTTGTTCCAGGCCTGCGCATGGGAGAACCGTCTGGATTCAATGCTCCAGGACCGAGCCCCGCCATTGGTAGCTTTTCGATCATTGCCGAACCCAGAGAGGCGGCGCTTCCTAGTCGCAGAAGAAAGGAGCAAAAAGCAGATCCACCCTCTTATTACGGCGAGAGCGAAGAGGTGACCAAAGGTTTGTCGAGCTATGAGCTGGGTCTGAGCGGGTATCACTTCCCTGCAACAGCAGAAACGCTTGACCAGGAATCAGACGTGACACAAGAAAGGTACGAAGGTGATGCAGGCGACAGCTTTCACGAGGAACGTCGTCTCACAAGGATCAGCGAGCAAGATGGGTCAGACACCAGCCCTGCAGAAAGTCCTCATTACCTATCCTCTCCGTCGCCACACTCGACCCACGACCTCCTTAATGCCTCACTGCACGTCAGTGCTCCTGTAGCCGAAGTAGGCATTGTGGGTCACAATGAGCAGCGTGGCTCGTCCTGCGGACACAAGGTCTGGAGGAAATGAGTCAGCGGTAGCCTCATAAGATGTCATATCAACGACGTTGACCCTTTTCCTCGACACCTTTGCCTCAGCCGATGGTCCACCGTCCCGTTACGCTCAAGCATGTCGCTCACGCATCCGCAATCCAGATTCGCATCGCTTTCTCAGCTCCACTGCTGGTCAGCTGAAAACCCAGGAGGGAGACCATACGACTCCCACGCGCTACTTTCATGTGCTGATGCTGCGATGAGGCTTGATCGTTATGATTGCGCTGGTCTTCTGTCTTTCCTCTTCCCCACAGTGGCATCTCACACTGTGTAACAACGTCTTTCCCTGTAATCAACCGTATGGTGGCCAGGCTCCGCCTCTGACCGCTTTGGGCTTGATTTGCCAATTGCCAAACCGTAGGCCGATCGAAACCTAGCCTTTTCTTGCGGGCTCGGTATCGTCTCCTCGTCTCGTCTTCAGGGCACTGACCGCGACGGTCTCCCTATCTGTTACTGTACTTATCGTGTCAGGTGGCCCCGACCCACCCGGAATTCTGACTAGTACAGACGAGCCGCTGGATACTACCCGTCAGTTGCCCCACCGACGCCGCTCGCCAGACGGGTACAGCATTCGATGCCACGTCCGATACAGCGTAGCCCGTCTCTTATTGCTCGTCCCACGTTGTTTGGCATTCCTGCATCTCTCGTCTTTGCAAATGAGCTAGACGGCACTTTTGGAGCGCGATGTCACTGCTGATCAAAGTCCACTTGGTGGCTAGGATCTTTGGGCTGTCCCTCAAGAGGCAGAACCGGATGACCTTAGAAAGACCAAGTGGGCTCGGACCGTCAGCTGGGTGACAGCGCCGTGCGATCTGCAGAATCCCCACCACATTTGCCCTGAGCCTTTGCATCCACATCGACACCGCTGTAGGAGGCTCTGCACGCTCAGAAAGGAGAACCAAGATCTTCACAGCAACAGCGATCTTCCAGGTCGCCTTGAGCATGTGCATGGCACCCTTGCAGATACCCCAGTCCTACCTAGGCTGAGACATGACTCACTCGATCGTCCTGCTACATATCAGGGGGCAAAAGGATGTCTCACGATTCGAAGAAAGTTGCAAGTCGATCGATCTCCTACAGGAATGTCGCCGTACATCACTGCAATGGCGCCGAGGATCTGGCCGACAGTCAATCGCACTGGTGAGTATTTTCCCCGCCATCATCTGCGCTGGCATAGAGCTCAGTGAAGCTACCTCTGCTCCCGTGAGATATGGACGGAAGAGGAGAAGACGGTTCGTGTTATCCGAATGTAACTCATTGTGTATACCTCTCTTCGCGTCGTTAGCGAATGGGTGCCAGCTTCGGTGGCATGCTGGCCAGCGGTATTCGTGCTGCCAAGGAGGCCATCAATGTCTTCGACCGCCTCGAGGTCGTCGAAGAGGAGGTGATCCGCGAGCGTATTTGAGGCAGACTCTCTGATCATGGTGCAGGATTACGCTCAACATTCGATGAAAGGTCCCCTGATCGAGCATAGTCTTCTAACGTGGCAGCACACTGTGGTAGGAAATCCTCAATCATCTGACGATGACTGCACAATTGCACTGACAAAGACTCCTTCCTTTTCTCGGAAGTACGTTGTCGAAGTTGCCGGAGTGACTTTGCAGCCCGTGCCGCTGCTTTGTTTGATGAAGCCTTCTCTTAGTAGCGGGCGACGATTCGCCGCATGTTCCGAAACTGGAGTGAGAGCGAGAGCCATATCAATAAGATGCTGCTATCGCATAGCAGACAGCCTGTGACGGCACTTGTACGATGGACCCTGCCTCCTTCTAACGATCACTAATCTGCTGACCAAACGCCTACACTTACGCCCACAGGCGAGCCTCACCACAAGGCCAGCATGACCTCCACCGCCTTTATCTCCCGAACGCCCCGCCTCTCTCTCGGCGGCTCCGCCATCGCCAAGGACGTCTCCGGCATGACGTTCGGTCTCATGAGTCTGATCCGGATCGATGATAGCCACTGCCCTCTCGAAGACCGAGCCTTTGCGTCCATGCGTGTCTCTGGGGTTGCCCTTTGTTGACGGACGGGTGCCGGACATCCCTACGAGCCTTGGGAGAAACCGCGCGCGAATCGATGTGGCACCGGCGTCGCCTTGTACCATTCTCTCTCCTGATACACCAGCGAACACAGTGAAATTGAGCAAATCTCGAGTGCCAGCTCCCATCTCGATGACGAAATTGAGGTCTGCGCGTGCCCTCCAGATACGTCGGCTACCCTACAATCTTCTCCTGACATCAAAACTTTGACAATACTGTCGGCGTCTGACCGCTCTCACCTTCTGTCCTTCCCTCTGCCCACCTGTAAAGCTTGCATTCGAGCACCGCGACCACCATGACCCCTGTCTAATTCCACGTACAAGCGCAGGCGCAAGCGCAGGCTGGAACGCTACCGTTCAGTATCGTCTTCCGTCTTCTGTCTTCTGTCTTCTGTCTTCTGTCTTTGCGAGGGTTGAGTCTCCATTGGTGGTCTCTCTCCTGTCTCCTGTCTTTGCAAGGGTTGAGTCTCCATTGGTGTTTGCTCTTCTGTCTTCTGTCTTCTGTCTTCTGTCTTTGCGAGGGTTGAGTCTCCATTGGTGGTCTCTCTCCTGTCTCCTGTCTTTGCAAGCGGCGAATGGCCAACTGCTCTGATGATTTGTGAGTTCCACCAGGATCATACGCATCAGACCGTGGTGAGGTCCACGTTTCGGTCTACGGGACAATACGTCCATTTCTGGAGTCCAGCCTGATTCGGAAAGACCTGGGACGCTGCTAGGGGAGACTTTGAAGTGGGACTTGACGGCATCTAGATAGGCTTTGCTGTCTTGCTGACCCGCTGCGGAAGACTCATCGGAATTGATGGGCGGTTGAGTGATGTTAGGGGGAGGATTGGGTCCTTCTTCTCCTCTGGCTCTTCTTTCCGCATCGATCTTCTTGATGACGTCCTATCCAGGATGGACAATGTGACTCTTGGAGATGGACCTGATCTTGTTCAGGACCAATTTCTTCTGCCTGGCCAGCATGTCATGTACATCGAGGTACTTGACACGAGGGACCATGCTACATTGCATTAAGGTACCACCTTCGTAGTCTTTGATGTAGCCTACCCATACAGAGCGAGGTAGAGATTTCCTTGGTGAACCCTTGCTTCTTGAAGTACCCGATGGCATAGTTGTCTGCATACGTCAGAAAATGCATGACGTCTCCGGACTCCTTGACGTGCTCCTTGAGATGGTTCATCAGATGTTGACCGTACCCTTTGACCTGCTGACTACTGTCGATGGCACAGAAGACAATCTCTGCGAACTTTCTCGAGTTGAACGGCCGATAGGTGATGCCACCTACGACTTGCAGACCACGCTTGACGATGGCCATGGAGACGTGATTCTTGTCTAGTACCAGTCGGGTGATGTATTGCCTGGGCATCTTGGGCAATTGTCGCTGGAAGATGTTCTTGAGGCCGGTGAGGATGATCAGTTCCGCCGGCGTTGTCGCGGAGAGGTGAGCATTGGACACGACTCGGAACTCGATGAGACCGGTCCGCTCCTCGACGACGGCAGGTCTCTCTCCTTTGGGTAGTGGAGCCTGACAGTGAAGCAAGCAAGCAGAGCCTGTCAGTCGAAAAGCCTTCCCTTACGCTGTACGCCGCGATATCTCTGAGCTCACCTCTTCCAGCGCCTCTTGTTGCTCCATCATATCGATGCTGATACCTCCCGTGACCACATTCAGATCCGCTCGAGGCTCCGCTCACTTCTTGCGCTGCGCCTCCTGTTGTTCTTCCAACTCCTGCTGCGCTCTGCGGTTTGCCTGCTCTAGAGCCTCTTCTGGACCCGTCGCCTGGTCTGCAACCCCTTTGGACGATTGCACGGGGTGTTTGCTATGACCCTGCCCCTCTTCTCCGTCGTCCTCCTCCTTTATAGGTCTGTCTGGGCTCTTCCCCACTTTTGCTTTCTCGGCATCGCCTTGCGAGACCTGTTCTAGGTCATCCTCGAGGGAGACTGCTGTTGGAGGCGAGGCGGCGGTCTGAGAGCCTGCCCGCGAAGGTCCGCCGATGGAGGCAGGGGGCGTGGTGAAGGGCGAGTCGTCTGCCAGCTTCCACTTCTTGCTCGGTGTAGGGGACCGCCTGGTCTCAGTCAAGGGCAAGTCGGGACTGCTGGATCGGCTTGACTGCACTGGTGGAGGTGGATTCTTCGCGCTCGACCCGCTGGCTCCATCCATTTTGACCGGCGAAGCTCGATAGAGGGGTACCAGCTGCTTCTGCAGCGAAGCCTGGTCCTCGTCACTGTGGGCGAAATCGAGAAGTTTCTTCTTGTCCTCCAGTAGCTCGTCCAGTCTGATGGCGACCTTGATCCTCTGCGTCCTCTCCTCTTCTCCGCCCTCGGTATCGCTCAGCTGGCCATGCATCCCTACCTCGTGACCGCAGACGCCGCACTTCTCCCATGACTTGGAGCACTCGGCCTCTCTGATCGCCTCGTCCTTATCCTGAACGGATTTAGCTTCGACATCGGACTCAGGGTTCGGCTTGAGACCTCTGCAGGAGCAGCCACCATCGACTGCCGAGCATGGGAAATGGCGGGCGACCTTGAGCAATGCTTCGGACGAGGTCAGGTCTTGCACCCGGCGTGCTCCAGAGGGGTAGACGAGGTTGGAGGCAGAGGTGTGTGTCGGGATGAGGACACCCTGCGAGCAGGCGCTCTGCGTCGAGGTGGCATCGCTGCTTCCGCAGCTGCTGAAGGTTCCTTGCAGCTTCTGTCCCTCTTTCTTGGATAGCGAGTAAAATCGTCGAGAAGGGGCAGCGTCAAAGTCGACTGGGCTTCCCTTGCGTATGTTGCCGCACTTGCCTCCAGGCGGAACGGCGACGCGGGTCGACTCGACTGTCCGTGAGCGTGAGGCGGCGGTGGCGGTGGTGGTGAGGAGTGTGGAGGCGGTGTGCAGTTGGTGATGGTGGAGGAGCAGCAGCAGCAGCAGCAGCAGGAACAGGAACAGGAGGCAGTTCACTCGTCTTGTTCAGTACCATCCTGCTCATCCTAACACCGACGACTGTCCTGCATCTCTTCGTCTGTGGACGTCCACGTCGCCATGGACGCCAGCACCCGCCACCTCGTCGAGCGCATGCTCGCCGATGTTCACTTCCTGGCCCAGCAGGGTCACATCAAAGGTCAGTGTAGTGCGAGGGGCAAGAGACCACCGTTCCAGCGGTAAATGCTCGCCGGGTGGGCCAGCTTGGCTGTACGAGAGATCGGAAGGCTGACTTTCATCGCCTTGTCTCTTCGAATCTTGGGCTCAAAAGTAAAAGACTATCAAGCCAACACGATCAGGGCTCAGCTCGATCCCATTCTCCAAAGCTCCGCAAGTCCTGCTGCTGCATCCTCCCAGGCCTCTACCTTGCGACCAAGTCTCGCCGCCTCCTCGCCTTCTTCCTCCTCTTCCTTCCAGCAGAAGATCAACTCGAATACGTCTTCGAAAGCAGACACGCTAGCGGCTACCGCAAGGAACAAAGTCCCTCCCCCTCCACCACCTCTCCAGTCTGGAATCCAATCGCCATCCACGCCAGCCGTCGCTGCTGAGGAGATGCCAACGAGGGATCTGGTCAAGGCTCTCTGGACGTTCGATGCTGCTGGAGGCGATGATGAAATGCCGTTCGAGGTGGGAGATATCATCGAAGTTACCGATCGCAGCGATGCGGATTGGTGGAAGGGCCATGTGAATGGTAGAGAGGGAGTTTTCCCGTGAGTTGCATTGTGGAGATGACAGGGAGATGGCGACGGATCGAATGACCGGCTGATCCCTGTGCTCTCCCTTGACCCTTTCAATAGATCAAACTACACTGAGCCGCATCAAGGCACGACATCCCTCCCAGCATTTCCACCCTCTTACCTCTCTCAGCCATCCTCGTCCTCCGAAAAGGCCGCAGTCGCAGCGAACCCATCTTCCAGATGGCAACCACCGAAGGCTCATTTCTCTTCAGGAGGACCTATCCCACCACCTTCCCCCATGGGTCAAACCTCTGCCAAGTCCGGGCAATCGATATGGCTGCAGCCCCGCCTGAGAGGTATAGCCGACATAGAAGAGGCGATTGGCGGCAAGCAGCTCGGAGGTGGTCAAGGTCGAAATCTTGCGACTGTCTCCGTCGCTGACGGGGAATGAAACCTGATCGGATCCCGGCTTGAGTCTTCGGAGAGACCAAGGCTCGGCGCAAAGCCTCAACGAGCTGAAGAGAAAGTCCGAGTCCATGTTTTCCAGAATGCCAGGATAAGGTGCATCAGGGATGAGATCGTCCAGTGTGCCGTTATAGAGCTTTGTGTAGTCACTCAGCGTCTTGAAACCTCCCGAGGCCAGGTTCTTCGGTACAGCTTTCTGCATTCTTTCGGTCAAGAGCTCGGCCCACGCAATGGTCTCGTTTCCAAGCGTCGTCGTGTCATCTGCGGCGGTGGCTAAGCCCAGAGTGCCGGCCGGATACCACGGTTGCTGTCCTCCCACGTTGATATCTGGGCCATAAAGATAGTTTGCTTGGGTATAGAGAAGCTTTGCTCGGCGGCTGGCATATCCAGAGGCTCCAGAAAGAGGGTGGTAGGCTAAAGTGTAGTCCAGAGACATTGCTTGCAGATGAGACCGGCGCTTTGAGACCTGAAGTGTTGAGCGAGAGGCTATCGGTCGCACCTAGTCTGTCGGCGACGTGAGTAGCCTGAGAGGGCAGGATAATCAAGGAAGCCAGCGTCCAGATGAACAGCAACCATGCCGGTGGCATCATCAGAGCAAGCGAAAGTGAACTTGCTCCGAGGGACGTGGTGACTATCGGACTGTCCTAGTTGTGGTGCGCGCCTAAACTCAGGATATGAGGGCAGTAGCAGCCGCGGCTCTGAGATCCCGGATACAGCCTATGCGTCGGGGCTTTGCACCCCTGCGTGTCGTGAGCCTTCTTAAGGAAGGGTCGAGCAGGGTACGCAAGGGGGCCACAGCAGCCTTATAGGCGCAACAGGGAGAGGTAGATGCTTGTGGTAGTTGGGATGAGAGGGTCGAAGTGGACTGGGCGATGTCCTCGTGCAAGTGCCGGGCGAGAGCGGCGTAAGTGTTGCCAACTAGGTTCCGAACGCCTCCACCGTCACACGGAAGCCCGAAGCGGGGGATCAGAAGTACAGCCGTGCGGCTTGGGACACAGTGCTCTCCATTGGGCAATAGGGACATTTCACCCGTCTGTACGAGCGAAGATGACAAAAGCAACAGAAGGATGAGATCAGTCGCCATGTCCGATGCTTGGCCCCTTTAGCGACGCCGCGAAAGACGACCGTCAGCTATGGCTCGTGATCCACTCACCCGTGTCCTCGACCCAGTCTGGCCAAACTTCCGGCACACACAACGTGGCCACAGTTCATCATCATCGGTGGTTGTCTTCGGTGGCTTGCTCCTTGCTCACAGGACAGGTGAAGGTGGAGTGGAAGCGGAGGTGAGATGGCAGAGGAATGTCGATCTTTGCAGGAGGAGGATGGAAAGGAACCATAGTGAGTCTCCGCGTCGCACCTCAAGCTCTTTATCGCTACTCACCGGAAGCTCCTCTGCCTGACTCCACTCATTGCCTCGTATCTTCATGACCTGTCTGACTTTCATGATCTTCTGCAGGGCGCCGCCCGTTCCTACTTCTACCGCAATCTTCAGAGGAGGATCGCGGGCCAGCTGATTGCGGGCACAGAACTCTGCCTGGAACACGGGCTCCAGAAGTGCCGAGTGCATCCTGTTCGCATCCAGGAAGCGATGATAGACCAGGGGGACTTGTTGGTGTAGGCGAGCGAGATAGTGAGATGACGACCCGGCGTCGGGATCGGTGAGACCGGTCGGAGGAAGGAAGAGAATGAAGGTGTATAAAGCTTGAAGTTCACTCAGTTGGGAAGCCCGATGATGCCCGAAATGCTTGCGGCCGTAGTGCATGGCCTCTTCGATCGGCGAGTAGAACGATGCACTGGACGAAGGTCGCGTCATGGTCACATTCTCTCCATCTGAATCGGTCGCCATGAGACTCGTCGTCACTGAGGCTCCTGATAGAGCAGGAGCACCTATGGCAATGCGAAGGAACTGCGACCGTTGAAGGGCGAACTCTAGCTGAGACGACCGGCTCTCTAGGAACGGTCGATTGACCTGAGCCCACTCAATGGCTGGCTGAAGGTGACCAGAGGTGAGAGCTTGGGAGATGCTCTCCAGCTGCGAGTACACCTCAGAGGGGGGCAGAGGAAGTCCAGACTTCTTTGGATAGGGGGACCGACATGATCATCGGGCTGTGAGCTCACGTTGTACCACCCACGCCTTCAACATACTACTTACCTGCGAGAGCTGCTGTGCTGCATCCCACTCTCCCATTCTGAGCAGATGATCCATGACCACAGCTTCCAACGCTTGCTGAGCTTCATCCCCCATGGATAGCTTTGGGTTCGCAATGCCTTCGACAGAAGTAGTGAACTTCTTGTCGTATGCTTTCCCTGACCTGGCCAAGGCATTGTACACTTCCTTTGTCCGATCGTTGAAGGCCTTCTGAGAGCGAGCTATGGCAGACTTGGTCTCCGCCAAGACTACTGGCGCCGAGGGCGCAGTTGTTGAACCCGATTTCAACGCAGACTGAATGGTTTCCAATGACGTGAGAAGCTCATCGAGTATTTCTGCGACTGTGGTCGTAGTGGACGATGATGCGCTGGTTGAGGAGACTCGAGGGCGTGCAGTGCGCCGTGTTGAGGTGGGGGCAACTGGGTACAGGACTGGAAGTTTGGTGATGACCTTCTCCACCTCTTTCTCGATAGCGTCCATTTCCGACAATGGGTGTCGTCAAGACTGACCGCCTCTCACTGTTCTTGGGGGATCGATTGGCGAGCAAAAGGCTTATGCACAGGGAGCAACAACCATCAAGGGTCCTTTGGCCTTGAACCTGAGATACCAACAGCCCCGATATCCTCGGAACGGAGCCAGGTCCCACTCCACTCCACTTGGGGCACGGACGTAAGAAGTCGAGACGCTTGGGAGGGCGGCAGGCTCTACCTACCTACGCCACCCTTGGTCCCTGACCAGGCACGTCTTCCTGTTCTCCCCTCTTCGCCTCTGTGCTTGATCGAGACAGAGTGCAGTGATGACAATCGACTCTTGTCCAGCCTCGACAGTCCCAGTCGCTCTCTAACCCCTCTTCTCCCGCACAGCTTCCTCTATCCCTTTACTTCCAAGGAAGCCCTTCGATACAGCCTTGACTTCCGAGATCCAAAAGGCAGCTACCTCGGAAGGATGGGACGATGCTCTGACGGCATTCATCCATCTGCTCAATGACGGTACTACCAAAGCGCACGATGTCGTGACGGACAGGGAGGATGATATCGCTTGCAATCTGATTCATGCTATCTTGTAAGTTCGACCAGTGGAACTTTTTCAAAGACTTCCATACCCCCTTCCGGTCTGACTTGCCTACTATCGATCATCCTCTCCTCCTTTCCCTCTGCCCTTCTTCTTCCTCTTCCTCTTCCTCCTCGACCTCACGCTACTCCCAAGCTCGTTCTCAGGCCAGTTTCCTTTGTAGATCAGATCCAAACCTTGACTTCCGCAAAGGGTGGAGCTTCTTCCCCTTGCGGAGCTAAGAATCTGTTGGAAGAGGTGAAGAGCAGGCAGGAGGGGGAGTTGAAGACGTTGGTTGAGAGTCTGTGGGAGGAGAGGTTGGGGAGGACCTGAAGAGAGAGGGAAGAGGGAGGGAAGAGCGAAGAATGTTTACTGCGGGATGGGTCTGTTGGAGATGTTGCTGTATCGTGTTTTTACTGTGTTGATGATCGTCCCACACCTTGTATAAGTATGCTTCGTCTGTGCTGTTGCTTCCATGTAGCCATGCTGGTCCACATGTCTCACCCGTGTCTCAAGTCTTCCGCATGACTATAGCGAGGAAGAACAGCAGTGAGCATTATAACGTTGCGGGAACGAATGGGAAATGCGGCTGACCAATGACGAGTTACAAATACAACAGCCAGTCCAGAATTAATCCTCTTGGGACGAACGAAAGAAAACTTTACTCCCTCATCCTCCTTTCGATGTTCCACCCCATCCCAGTTGAGAATCTCTAGTGCTTCTCCTGCATCATCTTCTTCCTCTGCGCATCCTCCAACTTCAAAGCCCTCTCCACACTACGATACTTCTTCTCCACTTCCAACGTCTCTTCACCACCACCACCACCATTTCTAGAAGAAATCTTAGCATTCCTCCTCTTCAACTTGAACCTCCTCCACTTCAACATAGGTCCATCCATAGCTTTGGCGATGGGCTCGATCAAGACCAACTCCCATACGAAGATGTACACCGTCTGGATCAGGACCACGCCGAAGATCAATCCCAAGAAGGAATACAGGATCTCGAAGAATCCATACAACTTCTGCATGCCGTTGCCATCTGTATTGGAGAAGAGGATGGCTAGGGAGACGGTGAATAGACCGACGAGAGCCAAGACCAAGAGGTAATTTCGATAGACTGGTTCACGATGAGGAGGACCGATGTTCCATACCAGACCTGCCCAGACCAGAGTGAAGAAGTTGGTCTTGGCCACTACCGTCGAGTCTTGATCGTCCAGGACTAGATCGTCTGGGTCTACATCGGGAGCCTGGTACCAACTCTGCTCGTGAAGGACTATGTAGGGCACCGTCTGAGCGACGATCAGGAAGGTCACCGAACCGAAAAAGGAGAGCATGACTCTTCGTGTGATGAGGAGACATGGGACGAGACATGGACAACGCCTTGGCAGGTCTACCGTAGGACATGGCAATGGCGATACAGAAGACTTCGAAGATGTCGATGTATAGATAAGAGGCGTTGTCAAACGAAGTGGCCTGACCGTGGAGGAAGATGACCGAATAGTATTCCGAGATGGCGTAGACGGCCATGAACAAGAACATAGCCACCTGAGTAGCCAGCGCGTTACGACCTTCCTTGATGAGGGCGGTCAAGCTGCCAATGGTATCGTTGCCCGACGTGAAGGGGGCAGCGACACTGGCCTCGGCCTCAGACAAGGAGAGACCGACATCGGCGGCCTTCAAGGCCCCGGTATCGTTGGCGCCGTCTCCGGTGAAGGCCACAGTGTGACCGAGCTTCTGGAGTTGTTCGATCAGCTCGGCCTTCAGCTCGGGATTGAATCGAGCAAAGACGGCAGCTCGGACCAACAAGCGCGAGAGCGTCTCTTGCGAAGCATGCGTCAACAGATGCGTGAAGACATCGCCAGTCAAAGCCAGACCGACTTGGGACAGGGACAGGGAAGGATCTTTTGGCGTCAAGGAGTAAGGGTCCAAGCCCGTCTCGGAGCCAGCCTCTGAGCCTAGCGGCAGATCGATATCGCTCCAGATCAGCTCGGTGGGCTGATTGACGAAGGTACCACCCCTACTGCTGGCCTGCCCCGCCGTCGAAGTGCGTTCCTGGCTGTTGGCTTCCGGAAGACGAGGCACAAACACGGGCTGACCGGTAGCAATGAGGTTACACTGCCTTGCAATGGCAATAGCAGTATCGACAGCATCTCCCGTGCACATCTTGCAAGGAATGGAAGCCTGCTGCAACTCCTCGATAGCAGGGCCGCTCATCTCTTTCAGCTTGTTCTCGAAGAAGAGCAGATGCAAAAAGTTCAGTTGGGATTCGACAGAGTCTCGAGAGAGGCGTTGAGAGCCATTGTAAGACAGGGAGACCTTCTTGTAGGCAAAGGCCAAGACTCGAATTCCCTTTACAGTGGCGTCGTGCAAGACGTTGTGATAGCCCTCTGGGATCGTAGCGGGGTCACAGAGTGGGGCGAGGGCTTCTGAAGCGCCTTTCACGTAGTTCCTGGCTTTCTCCACGGAAGATCCTTGCGTGACGACCGACATTCGTCGCAGAGCCGGGCTGAATTCGAACTCGCGAAGCAGGGCGGCGGAGGAAGTGCCGTCTGCGGAGCGAGCGCAGGTTGCTTTGGGTTGCTTATCACCGACTTCGACGTGGACGCCTTCTAGAGGACGTGGTGACTCTTCCATCAACCAGCCTGTCCAAGCAAGCATGCTCGTCTCCAGAGGATCACCCAGCGCCTCTCCATCAATGACGGTCACATCGTGCGTGACTGCCATGGCTTCGACCATCTTGACATCATGCTCGTCTTCTTGCACATCTGACACTTTCTCAGCCAGCTCGCCCAGTCGATTGACGCGCTCGCCCGACGGCAGCCTGACACCCCTGACATCCAGTCCCCCTTCGGTCAAGGTTCCTGTCTTATCGAAGACGGCGATGAATACCTTACCAGCGACACTGATACGCTGTGGAGCAATGCAGTGGATGTTCTGCCTCTTGAGCCTGTTCAGAGCGAACGTGTGGGCAATGGATAGAGCAGCGGGCAGAGCAGGAGGGATGCAGATGGTGAACAGGTCGATCAACCGCAAGGCGATCTCACCGCCCGAGACGCCCTTCTTGACGAAGTTGATGACACTGCCGATGAAACCAATGCAAGCCATGATGGTGAGAATGAGGATGAACTTGAAGGCATCACTGTAAAACTTGGACTCGATGGGCTTGGTGAACAGCATCATCTTGACCAGACTTCCCTTTGTGCTCGACCATCCTGTGGAAAGAACAATTGCTCTGACCTCGGCATCCTGGGCGTCCTCCGGAACAGCTCGAAGTAGCAATTTTCCTCCCCACAGCATGCTCTTCTCGAGTTCTTGCTCGTTCTGTGTGCCCTCCATGACTTGACTCAGCGTGGCAGGCTTGATGGCTGTCTTGGAACTGGGCGTACTCTCTCCCGTGAGCATGGCCTCGTTGGTAACAACAGTGGCAGAACTGATGAGAGCCATGTCAGCGGGCAGCGTCTTACCCAGCAGAGAGGATGCCGACACAATGTCGCCCGGCACGAGCTCGCCAGACGAGATGGTCTGCCAAGTCGCCTCCGCCACCGCCGCAGTCGACTCGTCGGAGGTCTTCTCGTCTGTGGTGGAGGCGAAGGTGGCAGCATGGACTTTTGGTGCAGCTCGGACAACGTCGAGAGGGACTTCGTACCTCGACATCTTCCGAAGCTTCTCTTGCGACAGCTTGGCTTAGAACACCGTCGCAAAGATACCGAGGACCGACAGGACGATGATGACTGCCGCATAGCCCTGGTAGGTATCGTAGAACCAGAGGTCGCATGCAATGAAAGAGAAGAGATAGAAGGGATGCAGCGCCTCGCCGATGGTCAGAGAGACGAGAGATCGACCCTTGACGTCGATGATGTTCAGACCGAACAAGCTCCTGCGGAAGTTGACTTCCGCCTGTCCAACGGCCTTGGCGCCGAGGTGATACAGGCCGCGTCCCTCCACTCCGTAAGGTGGACCCATGCCGAGGAGGGAGCATGCCACGCCAGTGGAGTATGTCGGAAGTTGAGGATGTGACGGTTGGAGATGGGCTCCTGCTCGTCGACACGATTGAGCGTCCTGCGGGAGCCATGGGCAGCGTCGTTCGGCGTAGTGAAAGGTAGGAGCATATTCGGCGTGAAGACTTTGCTAGACGGTACGGCAGTCGGGAACGTTCCGACCTCGAGAACCTGCCTCGACGCCTCCTCTGAGGGGATCTTCATGGTACAACGAACCTTCTTCTTGTTGCCAGCCAAATCTTGGGGTGACGGCGGGTCGGTAGTCTCGTAGATCCACTTGATGTACAGCGCGGGCGACCAATAGCCGGCGATCAAGGCGAGGAACCCCAGGGAGAAGATGGATCCGATGATGTACAGGATGAAGCTGAAGGTCTTGCGTCGAACGAGATTGATCTGCATGTGAAACTGGACAGGCAGGTAGACGCTTCGCGTCCCCTTGTTGTCTCTCTCCGCGCTGACATCAGGCAACGAATCGAGCTGAACGGCTACATGAGAGGGGATGGAGAGGATCTTCTCCTTCTCGTCTTGTGAAGAGGACGACTTCCTCTCCTTCTTCTCCAGATAGCTCTCCTGGAGCGGAGCATCCCTCGTCACGCCCGGAACCAGATGACCACTGGCGGCCAAGGTGGAATTGCCTTCCCTGATGCTCGTCGTCCTGCTGTTGGCACCGAGAGGGTAATCCCTGGCGAACCTGTTCAGCGCCTTGCCCTTTCCCGACGCCGTTGCTTGGGCGGCCTCCCACGCGAGCAACTCAGGGTCGTCTCCCTCTACGAACGTGAAGGCCTGGGTGGGGGCTTGCTGCGAGGGAGCCGATGTTGTAGCCGCCGAGGGCACAGGCTGCTGCGACGAGGCCATAAGACGACCGCTCTGACCGATGTGAAGCGAGATGTGTTGCTGTTGCTAAGCGCAATTGGACTTCACTGTTGTACACTAGGCAGGCCCGATGCGCCCAAACCCACGTCTAATGGTCGATGATGGCGAGGAACAGGAGGGAAAAACAGGCAGTCGCAAAATGGCAAGAAGGAAAGGCAGGCAGGCCAGGCCATTGCCCAGAACCAGAAGCAGGGAAGCAGAAGCGGCGGAAGCAGCAGAAGCAGAAGCAGCACCTCCAAAGCCAGAACGGTTTCTGCCTCCTTTGGGCGTTCGCTTCCTCCAAGCTCGGGAGGGGCATCGCATTTCTGGCTGCCCTCTTTTTCCGGCGTCCAGCCCTCTCCCCCTGCCGCAATCTGCCTCTGCCTTTCCCTGGGCGGCGGAGAGGGAAAAAATGGACACGGACGCGGCAAGCCAGAAGGGAGGATCGGCAAGGCTGGTCATCGGCAGGCCTCGTCCCAACCAGAAGCGACCTGGCGTTCGGCCAGGAGGGCGGCGGCAATCAGCACACAGAGAGAGAGTGAGTGAGCCCCCGCCAAACCGGACTGACTGCCGTAGGCCCACCGCCAGCCAAATTACGGTCGGGCACAGGCACAGACAGAGAAGGAGGGGGAGAGAGAGACACGAGGCTCGCGTCCCCCCTCAACAGTCGTGTGAGCAGAGCAGAACAAAGGTGCCCCCTCTCTCTCCACGCAGCCAGTCAACTCGAGACCCACACACAGACTCTCTCTCTCCCTCTGACGGGCGCCTCAACCGTACGAGGGAGCTGCGGACAAGGACATTCCCATGGCTTCCACCAGTCCAGTCGGACTCCGTCATCGGATCGAGAGGATCTTGGACTATACCTACATCGGATTCTTCGTGGTCCATTTCCTGGCTTCGCTGCTAGTAGATGGTGCGGCAATCGATCGGGAGTGAATGCAAAACAGACAATAGCTTGGGTACTCTACTGACGCATCCTCCAGACCGCGCTCCTCGAGATGTGCCCTTTTTGTTCTCTTTATAGCTCAATACTTCTACCGTCCATCTCTCGTACCGCATTGGCTGGCCGACGTCAAGGCAGGCTATCTCAAGGATAGCAACGATCCCCTCTTATCCTCGCTGGGCTCCCCTGAATCGGCGTGGTTCACAGCAGCTGTGATCCTCGAGCTCGTCGTTCAGTGGCCGTGCTTCCTCCTCGGCGCTTGGGCATTGTGGAACGGCCAGTGCTCATCAGGACCAGCCCTATCAGTCTGACCCCGTGTTTTTTTTTATGGCGGGAAGCAAAGGAAGGTGCCTTTCTGGCAGCGAAATGTCTTACTGACAGCTAATCTCGTGTGACACGCCGACCTCTCTCTCTCCTCTGATCAAATGTGCTCCGAACTCCTTATCCAGACAAGATCGCCATCTATCCTCTCCTGATAGCCTACGCCTCTTTGGCCGCCTCTTCCACCCTCTTCTGTCTGGTGCAAGCCTTGTCCGGTCCGACTTCCCACAGCTTGAGTGACACCAACCGTCAAGCCATCTGGCAGGCCTATGGTCCCTTTCTGTTGTTGCCTACCATTTTGCTGGTGGATATGTTGTATCGTTGACATGGCATCGTCGCTCGAGCGACCCGCCTCGACGGATCAATGGCACTGGCCAAGGATACGAAAACGCAATAAGACGAAAAACATTCATCAGCTCAGTAGGCTCAATTTTTTACCGGCGTATGACTGGCCTTGAGTGACTGACCGACTGCAGTGTATCTTTCACGCGGGCCCACGGTGCCCCTCCGGGCGGCGTTGACGTCCGAGTCGGATGTTTTCCCCGCAACCGCTCGTGCCGGTCAATTTCCCCATGAGTCTGACTGACTGAGGGGGGGATCGGGGCGCGCCTTGCCCCGCTTCTCTTGTCGGTACAACATCATCAAAGGCTCATCGCTGTGAGAGTTCCTCCCTCTTGTTCCATTGATCATATCATCGTTCATCCCATCAACAGAAAGGAGAAACAGACAGCATCTTGTACATCATGAGAGCCGAACAAGGCCATCAATTCCCCCCTATCCCCCTCCACAACCCTTTCCGTTCCAATGCCCCTTTACAGAGACTCCTACTCCGTCTACTGGGTGAATCACCTCATTTGGAGACCATCTTCAACAACTTGGACCTCTTGGCGGATCGATGTATCGGAGAGCATGCCCTATCTGCCAACAAATTGAAGGGAGTGGAAGATGAACCTAGGTTGATCCAATATGATGCTTGGGGGAGGAGGATCGATGAGTTGAGGACGGGGGAAGGGTGGAGAGAATTGAAGGCGGCTACGGCAAAGGAAGGGATCGTTGCGGAGAGTTACCCTCTTCAGAAGGGAGATCATTCCACTTCTCCTTCTTCGCAACAGCAACGTCCCAAGGGATACTTGGGAAGAGACCAATTAGGAGCAGATGCAAGGATCTACGCCTTTGTCAAGATCTTCATGTTCGGTCCCTTTTCCAAATTGGTCCTCTGTCCCATCTCCATGACGGATGGAGCCGCTCGCGTCTTGGAACTGGCTGGAACACCGGATCAGAAACGAATTATCTCTCTACTGACCCATGCCGATCCGACAAAAGCTTGGACGGCAGGGCAATGGATGACGGAAAGACCTGGTGGATCGGATATCAGTCGAACGGAGACTACGGCTCGACCTGTGGCGCAACGTAGCGATGGCAACTATCGATCTGGAGATTCCTTCTTACTGGACGGATTCAAATGGTTCTCCAGCGCAACCGATGGAGATATCGCCCTAGCTCTGGCCAGGACCGATGCAGACTTCTCCAAAGGATCTCGTGGTCTATCCCTCTTCCTCTTGAAGGTTCGAGATCCTCAGACGGGGAAATTGAATGGCATCCGAGTGCATCGATTGAAGCAGAAGTTGGGTACCAAGTACCTCCCCACGGCTGAATTGGAATTGGACTCCTGTCAAGCCGAATTGGTAGGGACGTTGGGTCAAGGTGTAAAGATCATCTCTTCCGTCTTGAACGTCACTCGACTCTATTCCGCCGCAGGAGGCGTCTTCACCTTGACCCATGGTCTACGTCAATCTGCCAGCTTCAGTCTGACCAGACAAGTCGGTCAGAAGCAACTCTCGGAATACCCTCTGCATACGCAGTCCTTGTTTCGATTAACCGTGTTACAGAGGGCGTTGCAACAACTCTTCTTCTTCAACTCGGGACTATTGGGCAAATCCGAAGCGCAGACGGCCAACAAGAGGGATCTCACTCTGCTTCGTCTCTACACGCCAGCTCTGAAAGCCTACACGGCCATTCGAGCTTCCGAAAGTACCTTGAGCCTGTTGGATTCCTTTGGAGGGCAAGGATACATGGAAGATTCGGGATTGGGCATCGCGGAATCCTTGAGAGATTTGGCAGTGGAGAGGGTCTGGGAAGGGACCATCGAGGTTTTGGGGATGGATGTCGTCAGGGTGGTGATGCAATCGAAAGGGGAAGCTCTCTTCGTCTTGGTCTCCGATCTCAGAGAGAGGCTCTCTCACCTGATGCAAGGTGACAACGAAGGGGAGAGTGACGTCGTCACTCTCCTACAGGGTGGCGTCGACGAGTTGGAACGAAGTAGCAAGATCCTCCTCAAGACCTTTACGGATCGTAACTTGGCAGGCAGTCTAGACTATCGATTTGCCGCTCCCCTCTTGGAACTCATGATGATCCTCAATGGTGGGGCGTTGCTTCTGGAACAAGCCGGTTGGACGAGAAAGCAACTCAAGAGTCAACAAAAAGCTAGTCCATTGGTCCCTCTGACGGAGGATATTGCCCTGGAGGAAGCCCACATCGCTCGCACGTGGGTCATGGAGGAAGGAGAATTGGCACAGACGTTGACCAAGTTCAAGACTACGGTTGAGGAGAGGGCTCGAGGAGGAGCTGTCAAAGACACTTCGTTGGACCTACAGCATCGCATCGTCTTTACCGAAGTGTTGGATCAAGCTAGGCAAGCGAAGTTGTAGAACGCAGGAGGAGATCGAGATCCACGGAGTCAACCGCAGGAGCTCGAACAGCTGGCAAAGACCTTGACAAGCTTGAACGAGTTCTATGACAATCTCAGACTCTCGACTGGCAAAGCAGCTCCCTCGCCGAACGAGGCAGACTTCAGAGCGTACCATCTCATCCCCAACCTCTTCAATCCCGAAGTCTTGCGATTGGTCGAGCTACTGCCAGAAGCCATCTTTGACGCACCAGTCCTGCAGGCGGCGATCCGACTTCGAAGCTTTGCTCAACGTTCGAATAGAGGCGGCTCCAGTCGAGCCAACGCACTCAATACGGTTGCGCCCATGTATTTCGTCAGCCGCTTCTTCCCCGAGATCCGGTTCGGGCGTGTTCCATATCTGCTAGCTGCGATGTTAGAGAACAAGTTTGGCGATGTCCGAAGCCATAGCAGTGATCGTCTTGTCATTGGTCTTGTAGTGCGAGGGTCAGGATAGTATCTGTGCGAGGGCGAGGATCTGGTATCCATCTATAGTATCGGTCTTGTATTGGGTTGCGAGGGTTGGGAAGGGCAGAGTAGTGTCTTTGCGAGGGTCTGGTATCCATCTATAGT